GTGCTAATTTTAGTGATGATTTTAGGCAATGCTTCATGTCTATGATTAGAGATTGAGTTGTTGAGGTGAAAGATATTGTCTTTTGAGTTGGATATGTGTCTTTTGTTCCAATTATTTTTAAAATTTCAGGATGCATTCCATGGTATACAGTAATATATGAAGCATGCGACGAACCCAGGCTCGTGGGTAGCCTGTGACGAACCCAGCTTCCGGGTTCACGAAGAACCCAGGCTCTTGGGTAGCCTGGGTTCACCTGGGGGGTAAAAGGAAAGGAAAAAAAGAAAAAAAAAAAAAAGGCCAAAGGAAGTGGAGTCCACGTGAATGGTGACGTGGAGTCTATGTAAGCATCTTTTACATGTTGGCATATCCACATCAGCTGTTTCAGTTAAGTTAACGTGACACGTGAGCAAAAATTAATGGAGGGACCAAAAAGGGGGCCGGATTTGTGAACAGTAAAGACTAAAAAAGGGATTTTTTCGGTACAGGGATCAAAAAGAGGCTTTTTCCAATAGTAGAGGGACCAAAAAGGGTATTTAACCAAATAAATATAAAAGCATTGCTACATTTCATGTTTAATTTTTTTCGTAAATAGAGTGAGAGCTAGAGAAGGGAAATACTTTTATATTTATTATTATTATTATTATTTTTTTTGTAAAACTGAAATACGGAAACTAAATAGCAAAAATTAAGTCCGTAGGAGACTGATCCCCTAAAAGAATAGGTTGAAGACCACTCGGTGGTGAGTCGAAAACACTTTGAGTCTGGAGGTGAAGAATGTTCAAGGGAAGCTAGAAAATCAGCCGCAGCATTCCCTTCCCGCAAAGTATGTTGCAGAATGCAAGACTCAAATTTTGCCATCAAGCTCCTTATATCCATAAGTACAGCAGCAGCCAGATTATCTGGTTCTCTTCCCTCATTTATAAATCGAACAGCCATGGGTGAGTCCATCTCAATGACAACATAAGTTCACCATTCCATGAACTTTTATATTTATTTTAACTTCACAAAAAAGCATTTTATAAGTCGTATGAATTCTTTAAAAATATTTCATAATTATTAAAGATATTTTATTAGATTTATAGGGGTGCATTATAATTTGAATTTACAGTTTAAATTATAAAATATATATCTTTTAACTTATAATTATAGCAATGGAAGAATATCTTATTATTACACTAATTTATAACTTTCAATACAATTATTTGAAAAACTATTTTATTAATTTTTATTTTATTTATATAAATTATGTGTACTTAATTTCATATCTCTATTGAATATATTTAATAATTGTATGAATATATATCCCCCAGTTTTATTTCATTATATAGGTTAGAAAATATAGTTTCTTTAATTGTATGATTATAATTTTTTCATTAACTTAAATTTTGGTACGATAATCAATGTTAATAAAACAGCCAATTCAACAATTAATTTTTCAGTACCTGTATTAAAAATTATGAACCAATATAAGTAGTAATTTTTTTTAATATATTTGATAATATGCTATATATAAGAAGGTCAATCTTTTTTTTTATCAATCTAGTTAATTCAAATTGTATCAACTTCCAACTTTTATACCAAACACTCTCTTTATATCCAAAACTCAAGACTCGAAAATGGTCCCTTTCAATTTGAAATTACCCAATTTTTTTTAGGTATAATATTTGAATACCATTCAAGAAGAATAACTGCTATTAAAATAAAAAAACAATATTCCATGAGGAATAACTTCTCTTAAATGTTTCACGCAAAACTATGTTTCTTATAAAAAATCACTTAAATGGTTCGTGCGAAACTTCTCTCGAATATTAACTTCTGCAATTAAATGGGTTCGTGCTACACAAAATACACACACGTGTCAGAATAAATATTTCTTAATTTTCATTTTAAAAATCAATTTTCATTTTAAAAAATTAAAAAAATATTATGTAGTATAAATTATATAATATAAATTATTCATAAAGGCTGACCTCCTAATACCTAAGGTTGCCTCCATTTAATAAATATTTTTTTTTATAATTTGATATAATTTAAATTATAAAATAAAAAATGATAATATTATAATTATTATAATATATAAAATTACAAATTTGTAATTAAACAAAATATTAAATAAATATAATAGGGTATTAAAAGAATAGATATATGTAATATCGTAAGCAAATTTTAAATAAAAAGAACCACTTATATATAGATATGGGATTAGTACTTGTCTGCCTTATCTCTAGAAAATTAGGAGAAAAAATGACAAAAATTACCTTAATGCATATTTTAAAAATATGGTAGTTTAGTCTTTTTCAATAAAAAGTTATTGAAATGACTTAGTTTTAGGATAATTTTTCTCCTAATCTTTAGGAGGTAAAGCTGATATGAACTTTTTCCTAAAGATATATTATATTATAAATTTACAATATTATTTTTTTTGATACTAATATTTAAATATTTAAAAGTTACATTAAATTTTAATTAATTCAAAATCGAGTTACATCAGATTTCATATGAGAAATTTTTTTTAATATTTATTTTTTCATGTAGAAGATTCAAATTAAAAATTTTATTTAAAAAAAA